TGTTTGATTAAGATGAAGAATTGTCGGGTTCGATATTGAATTGATTGTTTGATTGAATTGATTGTGTGAATGAAGGATATTGAATTGATTATTTGATTGAATTGATTGTGTGAATGAAGGAAGTTTCGAGAAAGAAGATGCTGGAGGAAGAAGATGATGCAAAATTGTAATTTGGTGGGCTCCACTTTTGTTTTTGCGATGGGTATGACCATGTCATCATTTATCCACGTGTACAACTGACGTGGCTTAACTTTTTGATATATCTATGAGTTAACGGACGATTTTTAATGGAAAGACCAAATCGGGGTAAAAATGGTGAACAGTAGGGACCAAATAAGGGATTTTTTTAGTTCAGGGATCAAATCGGGGGTCCATACAATAGTTCAGGGACCAAAAAGGGGTTTTAACCTATTTATTATACCCGAGGGCGGGGGTATCCCAGCATAACCTACCCCTTTCCTATCTTTTTGGTTCTGGGCGGCAGTTCTTTGTCCCTATCCTCTCCTGTTGAACGGACGTCCTCTGTACGCCCTGCCCTACTCAGGAGGATACTGGTTATCCTGATATACATCTTGTGCCCCGCCAAGTTGGTACCTCTGCCCCTGAGGTCGGTCATACCTATGTACAAAATGAGTTTGAGTGGGTTGCTAGGTGTGGGGCTTCTAAACATATCCTTCTAGCTTCCCATTGCGAGCCAAGAACTCCAGCTCGTCCTTTAAGTGTTGACAATCTTCTGTGTTGTGACTGTACACACGATGGTAATCACAATGTTTGCTCTTGTCCGCCCTTGGGGAATCATGCAATGGTGGCGGGGGTCTTCTAACCCAGTGTTGGATTTGTGCCAGGATTTGAGACCTCGGCAAGGCTAGAGGGATGTAGTTAGCATATTTCAGGAATTCAACTGGCTTCCCCCATTGTTCATTGACCTTCTACTTTTTCTTTCCTCTTTTCTTGGTGGTTGTTCTTGGCCTTTGCTCTGCTTATCGTCAGCTCACCGCTTGGATGACTGGAAGTCTTCTGACAATATGAAGCTAGCCGACCTGTCATTCACTTCGTTCCATGTCTTCGACGGGTTTTTTAGCAGGTCGTCTAGGAACCGACCATGCTTCAAACCGTGTAGCAAGGCGGACAAGCAGATGGTATCAGGGACATTATCAATGTCTAAAGTTGCTTTGTTAAATCGCTGCATATAGTCCCTTAAAGATTCCCCTTCTTTTTGATGAACTTGCATCAGCTCGGTCGCTGTGCGTTTAATCTCCCTTTGGCTCGCAAATTTGTTGGAGAATAGCTTGGCGAGCTAGGAATATGAGTCTATGGAATGTCTGGGGAGTTTGTGATACCATCTCCTGGCTGTTGACTTGAGTGTTGTTGGGAACACTTTGCACATCATGGCATCATTGGCATTTTGGATTCTCATGATGGCTTGATAGGTGTGCAGATGTTCATCAGGGTCACCCAAGCCATCATACGTTTCCAGGTGGGGGATTTTGAACCCCTCTTGATATGGTTCTGCTGTGATGGATAAATTTAGTGGTGCACTATCTAAATCCAGAGTCTGTTGGTGCGACCTGGGACTTATCAACTCGTCAATAGACTTTTATACGTCCCACAACTGTCTTTCAAGGTCTGCGTTCTTTCTCATTAGTTCTTCACTATGTTTGGACAAGCTGGGCTCGATATTCAGCTTCACACTTCCCCTTGGCCTGGTCGGCACTACTATGTTGCTTAGAGCGGGGGAGTTTCGAGTTGCAACAACCGCAGCTGGTTGTGCATCCCTATTCAACAAAGGAATCAGGGGGTCATCAGGGATCAAGCGGGCAAGGATTTTACCCATTGTCGTTTCGAGAATTCTGGTTCTCTCTTCGAGCTCGGTTGTCTGAGCAGGTTCTGTTGACCTTTCAGGTCGTTCATGCTGTGAATTGTATGGTCTAGAAGGTCTTTGTCTTGTTTCTGTTGGAACTTGGAACTGTTCAGGTTGGGTTGCATACCCAGTTGGTGTTCTTTCATCATCATCCGTTTCACTTAGGTGATCTTGTTCTGCTCCCCCGACGAAAAAGTTTCTTGGCATTGGCCTAGAGTCATTCAAGCCGGGCTCAGATAGTTGGGCGTCCTCCTGTTCGCCCGTTTCATTTCTTGGAGGGCGACCTCTTGTAAAAGTACGAACCATTTTGTCTTTCAGCAGGTTAAGCTACGCAACTTCTTGTTCAAGTTTCCCACAAACGGCGCCAAATGTTTGGGCAGCTTCGTAATCCAACACTGTTGAAGTTCTTAGCTGCTTCTATACCTAAAAATCCTGAGGATGTTTTCTCGGGGAAAACACTCCGATGCTCAAGTTAGCAATACTCAATGTTCTAGAGAGAGATGCTCTCAATGAGTAATTGCAGAGAAAGAAACGTAGAGATTCCTTACCTTCCTCGGAGGTAGTTGGGGGGTATTTATAGCCCCAAGTGCTGACATGCATCTGTTCATGTAAGCATCTCATTGGTCTATGTGGTGCTGGCCATGTGGGTATGCTTGCATTAGTGTTCCCTCAACTTGGGTTGGTAGGCGATAACTTAGGCCCGTTATGTACAGCCCTGTTTGGATGTTGGGTCGTTGGGTCTATGTTGGGCCTATTCCAACACTAGGTTTTTGCTTCTTTTTTATACCGAGCCTTGCCGCGTCTTCCCTTGCCCTATTTCCAAGAAGCTTCCTCCATAGAGCTGGGTAATCGGAGATTAGAGAAGGCAGAAAGCTTCAGCCCATTTGCGGCGAAGGTGCGGCCAAAGAAGATGATGTAATCCCTTCTAAAAACGTCGTCGTTAAAGGGATAAGAAAGACTCGCGCTTCAATCCATTGGTTTCCTCCCTTTATCATTTGAGTCCCATATTTACTTCCGGATTGCAATTGGGTCCCCACAAGATGAAACCTCGATTTTAAATATTTTCAATTGAGTACAAAATAGCATTAAGTGAAATTTACCTCGATTTTTATTTGACACATTTTTTGTATTAATTTCCCCATTACATTAAAGCTCAAATATTTTGAAAACTTTCACTCAAAAACTTGAGAAATTGTGAGAAATTAATGTTTTTAGAAAAAAACAAGATTTCTTTCCTTCTTTTTTTTTTTCTCTCTTCTCTCTCTTTTCATACATATTTTTTTGAAAAAAAATAAAATGAGATTGTCAAAAATTAGGTTATAATAATATGTATGATTATATTTTTAAATTTTTTGTATTTCATTATAAATTAAAAAGTAATAATTTTTTAATAAATATGTTATAGAGTTTGTTTAATTGTATGGTATCTATTCAATTGCCACAAGGTATAACATTAATATTCCTTAAAAAATAATAATAATAACCAGAAACTCTAGATAAGAAGGAATTTTGTCAATAATCAGCCAGATAAATTGAAAATTATACATTGTTACACATGTATAAATAAAATATAAAGAAAGCAGTAAAAATTTTGATGAATATAGAAGAACCTTATTTGTTGGTCATTTGCTGAAGTTATGAAGACGTACCGTACTGTTTAAAATCTTTGATACAGAGAGCTATCCAAAGCCAAAATAGATGGGAGAGACCTGAGCTAAACTTAAGTAGATCTTAAAAGGAAAAAGCATATTCCAACCAAACAGAATTTTCCAAATAGAGTAATCTGGATTCTTAAGCTCCTTTTTTAACTGGCCGAAGGAGAAGATGGATCTGAAGTAGAGTTTTTGTAGCAGAAGTTCGACGCATTGTAGTTCTGAGGAATCAATAAAATTAGAACCTGCAGTTTCAGAATCATTCAAAGGTATTTCCGATTCCGAACTTGCAATCCTTGTTTCTTAATTGAGTTTACTTGATTTAATTGAATTGGGATCGAATTTATTGGTTCATTGTACATGACTATCTCTTGAAGATCTTGGTTGTGATTTCGGGCGTCTAATCTGTGTATCAAGTGCTTTCTGTACTTTTTCTTTATCATTATCATGTGCCCTGTTTCCCCATTTTTTTCAAAAAAAATGCAGTGTTGATGTCTTAATGTTTTATAATTTTGCAATTCGTGTTCATTAAAATTCTGATGTAGATGTGGAATCTGCACTTTAGTCGATTGATCCCTGTTACTACTTGATTGAATCTTTTATTAGCTCACGAATGGTGTCTTGTATGTACAAATCTCATGGATGTCTTTAATTTTAGTGTTCCTCTGAAAGAACTGTCCTCGTCTCATGAGTCGTGTGATATATGCTTCCTTTAGGGCGTCCTGTTGGTGTATGAAATATGCTTTTGTTTGTTGAGTTTGGTGGTTAAAAATGGCGTTAAGTCTGGTTCCTTACTGCAGATTCTTGTAAGTGAGTGCATATCCTGTTTTAGCTAGATTTCAAATCATTTCATGTTTGACTTGATTTAACTGATGTAATGAGTCAATTTTGTCTGTTTTGGGCGTAATTGGCAATAAATTTTAATGAAACCAGTAGTGCTGACCAGTTTCTACATACTGCATGAAAAGTTTTCTATGACATTTTTGCAAGAGTAAAATGCATTATGACTAGGATTTGGTGGGGGAGATCATGTCGATATAAATTTTTTTTTTCTTGGCCGAAGAGTACAGGTGATTTTTTTTCTTTTGGCCGGACATAGGTATTACATTAAGATGAAAATAAAAGGATTACACACAGATAGTTCCAGCAGTTTGGCTACCAAGGGAAACATAAACAAAACAGACAAAGTGAACACTAAATATACCGTATAGTATGAACGCATAAAACTTAAGGCTGTTGACAAGCCCTCCAAAACCATAATAAGAGGTCGGGTATACTTGTGCAAAGGAAAGCAGTGTGCATATCCTCTATATGGGGAACTTTGACAAAGCTGAACAGCGGCACCATCTGAAACTTTTGTTGCAACCTGAATGGGTAAAGCAACATAGGTGTTGTACCTCCATGTCATGTAGACAGCATCAAGTTTAAATGGAACCAAAAAAGGAAAGCAAGTTTTATAAGCACAGAATAAGGATGATAGTAGCAATGAATAGAGAAAACGTTCCTCAGTGTGATAAGCCTGGAAATGAAGAAAAATCCTCAAGAGAGTTTAAGAATCCATGGAAAGATTACAATCTTGCTGCCTTGGACCTTTAACATCTCTACTTTGGACGTACAACACCATGCGACCACCTGCCAGCACACTACCAATCCTTGAATCCTCATTGTCATCAGTAACACCAAACCTACTCCTTAAAATATCGGTTGTATCAGGGAATATGTAAGTAGGAGATGAAAATCTATTTATAAGTTCCACCTTAGAATATGAAAACTACCACCAAACCAGCTTCTAGACCCTAACACCTGCATTAACTTCAAATCCTTTAGGCACTGCCATCCAGTCCAACAGCTAGAACTAGTGTGTTTCCAAACCTTGACACCATGGAGATCTCCCACATCAAAACACTACCAACCATTGGAGCCTAGATGTGCTGCAGAAAGAACAAAACAGAAATATTCATCCCACAAGTATAGGAAGTTTAATTGATACTTATCCTGATTGCTTTGTATTCCTTTACCAGTCCACATACTAGTGGAATACCAACATTCAAGACCATAATCAGCTTCCACACCCAAACATCGAGGACCATCAACAACGCCTAGACCCATCATGTCTAACATCTTTTGCATATTTACTGATAGAAAGCTCAATATGAAATAAAACCCAATCACAACCAGCACCAAAGAGCCAATCTCTTCAATATAGCAGCTAGCTTCATGATCAAACCCAAGACTCATTAAGTTCCCTTTTAACTAAGTGAAACTCACATAAGAAGCTAAATTTGCACCAGACTGAGGACTAATATAATCCAATAAAAATGCCCAAAAACTATCAAATGGGTCCAAGTGATTGAGATAATTAACAATATATCCAAGACAAACATATCCTCAAGACTGGAAATTAATTCTAAACCCTAATACCCAACAGCCAAACAATCAGAGGAGGGTTTCAAGAGGAGATTTCACCTGAAAAACACTGCTATCCACCCAAGCCGTAATGAATTTCAAAAGCCCTTTCCAAAGTGTAACAAGCTTTAGTGAAATATGATCCTCTTTTCTGAGTACTCTTGAACCAATTGCAGAGAAAAGATAGATCTGATATCCATAAATTGGTATTTTGAGATGTTAAATTCAGAGGAACAGCTTGGCATCGCCATGAAATAAGATCTAGAGCTGGAAAATTGGTTTGATAGTTTTGGGCTGACGATTGGGGAAGAAAAGATGCAGGAAATGTTTTTGGGTTTTACTGTGAAATGGAAAACTTTAAACAGAATCGATCGGAAAGTAGAAGGAAAGTTGGAGGCTAGAATTTACAGGGGAGGGGAGGTAAGGCAGCAGGAAGAAGACGGAAAACAGCATTTGGGAGAGCCTAACAGCGGCTCCCATTAGGCTGCGGAGGAAACTCTCATGGGAGAGCAGGAAGCCCTCGGGCCGAAATGATCCTAGACGTGATTTATGTCGATATAATTGAAAGATCTATTATTTCAAAATTTTGAGAATTTCAACTTGGCCTTACCAGCAAATTATCCTAGACTAGAGATGATTAATGCATACTAGCATTTGGTCCACAACCCAACCATTCTATGTTACATATATTGAACCAGATAATTTTTTATGGAGGTGAAATTTGGGCTTATGCCCTCAGTTAGTAGAGGGGTATTATAGATGTGAGGGAAGTGTTGAAGGAGCGTGGTGTTTAGGTTAGTATGCTTTGAGGTACTTGTAAAGTTGTAGTAATAGCCATTATGGAGAATAATTTTCATTATATTTTAAGAATGAGTTTGAAGTTTCTCTGTCTAAAGGTTTTTTTTATATAGATTTGATTATTTCATTTTAATATAAATTATGTGAAGTCTATAAATTTTCTAAAAATATTAAAAAGTTTTCATTTAATAGATCTTATACCAAAAAAAGTACATTACAATATAAAAGTCTAAAGAAACCCAACCAAACAGAAAAAAAAAAAAGTACTAAGAGTAGATACACTTTTTTTTTTTTTAACATTTTATCATGGTGTTGGCTCGAACCGTTACCTTTGAAGGAAAATCTGAACCTTACGAGAGTGACCAAAATCGCTTGGCCAAAGGGGCAGGTTCAGATACACACTTATTAATTAAAGGAAGACGCAGAAGGATATATATGAAAACAGTTCAAACCAGTCTATGCATGCACTCTTAACACCTTGCACTTCTCACAGACCTCGATGCTATCTGCTGATGATCCACGTTGTTCCCTCCATTCTAAAGGTTTCAGGCAGTTTCAAGACCGAGGGAAAATTGTGAATGTTGTTTGCAGGAGGGTAAGTAGAAGCAAGAAAGCTGCTGCAAAAAAGGATATCAAAGCCCAAGGAGTGTTGAAATAATTGTGCCTCAAGCTTGCCATCCTTCTGTTCCAAGGCTCGTGGCAATGTTTGTTGACATTATTAAATAGCTTAGCGTAAAAGAAGAAGTCTGAGTTGATCAAGAGTTCACTTCCGAGCCTATTAAACATCTTGGCAGCTGCCTCGTCAGTGCCAAGCCAGTGATACATGATATCTTTTTGACAAAGTAACTCCACATCCTTCTCAGTATCAATGAGAAAATCCATGACAGTTACATATTCAGTTAAGCGTTTTTGAGATCCACTGTTGTCAAACTGTTCATAGGCAATGATATTGAAATAAAATAGCTCAATCCGATCTTCAAAATTCACAGGTGGAATGTAAAGTGTCCCGTTTTCAAACTTTATATCAAATAAGTTGTCTTCATTACCCTTTCTGAGCTTTATTCCTGCCTCTCTTAGTTTTGTAGCAGAACGAATGAAATCCCAATTAACATCTCTTTTCTCTAGCTCGCGTTCAGTCATTGAACCTACTGAAGAAAGCCAATTGGTGCATAATAATTCTAATAGATGCTTGACCCCGTTTATTGATGTTTCACCATAGCTTTGGCAAGGCTTGAGCTTTGGCATTACTTCTCCAAACAACTCAATAATTTCACCAATACCGGGGTGATCATTATTACAGGGTATGCGTAAAAACTTCCATAGTACAAAAAAGGGAAGTTGATTCTCAACTAGTATCAAATCTGTTAAAATTTTGAAGCAAATCTGGTTGTCCGAGCTTAGGATGGAATGGATGAAGCTTTTTTTGATTAATTTGAAAAATAGCTCGACAATAAAACATCCATCGAGAACCATCATTTTTAAAAATTCTTCATTGGAAATAACCAAAGATTCCTCATAATAGTTACGAGCATTTTCCATCATACCTCTCATGGCCTCCACATATATTTGAGCACTATTCTGCCCTGTTCGTTGAAGAAGATCTTTTAGAAAACGCCCCTTGTGAGTTTCCATTGCTTTTAAATGATCTTTTTGGCGATGATAAGGGCCAATGGAAATGAGTTTAGGTTCATAGGCTTTTTCATTTAGGTTGCGGAGATAAGGAGGCACTTGAAAAATTTTGGGCCATGAGGAAAATTTGGCAGGAAGGCCCCGTATCCAGACATCTATATTATGATTTTGGACAGCGTCGTTCATTTTTGTTGGGAATTTTGAACACATCTGTAGATGGAAACGATAAAGAAATTAAGACAATAATTTAATTTGATTTATGCACTTTTCAATAAGTTTATGTCTATAAAAAAAAGATATATAAATTCACTATTAAAAAAAAGTACAATAATTTAAAAGTTCTCTAGTTTAAAAAGCTCTCAACCCCTACCTTCAATACATAAAAGCTCCCAAATTCTCCTTGATACTCTCTCTTAATCTACACAAGAATTTTCTCACAATTTCTCTCTTTTTTTTCTCTCACAAGAGCTCTCACTCAATTTCTCTTGCTTTCTCCTACTCTTGTTTACTCATTGCCTTTGCATACATGGGTATTTATA